TTGAGCTAGAAATTGTTGAAATTGATAATTTTCATCTATTGTCATTTCTACTGTCGGAGTTGGACCTTCCGATGCATCTTGAATTGGTGCATTAAGATCATGCTCATCCTCAATTATCATGTTGTGCATTATAATACATGAAGTTAATATATCATGTAGCACTTCTTTTTAAAATTACTATGTATTTTATATTTCAATGTTGATGTATGACAATTACTACTTTGTTGAATGTTTATTATTTTTGGTTATTTTTAAGTACATTGTATTATTTGTTTAAAAATTTATATGTTTGCATTTTTAATTTTTGTGAAGGTTAATTGTAATTTATAGTAGAATTAACATAAATTTAATTTTTAAAAAAGTCATATATAGAAAAGTTAATTTATAAAAAAGCTAAATTTTATATCTAAAATTAATATTATAAAAATATTACATAAAAAATAATTAAATATACAAGAGATTTAATTAAAACCTACAATTTATATAATGTTTAATTAAAAGTTTGTATAATGAAATAATATTAAAATATTCAAAAAGTAAATTGGTGTGGTGAATAGTGTTACACCAAATTTTGGTGTAACACTACTCACACATCAAATTTGGTATAAATATTGGTGTGGGTTGGAGCTCAAAACACCAAAATTTACATCAAATATAAAATTTGGTGTAAAATTTGTGTTGGGTTGGAGATGGTCTTAGTACTTTTTGGGGGGAATTATATTGCTTTGTTTTGTGGTATTCTATTGAAATATTTACCATCATATATGTATTTTTAATAATAATTCCCAATTAAATAATAGGCCCTCCTTTGACTTTAGAAAAAGAATTAATTCCACTTTAAACAGGTCTTCTTTTGCTTTTGTTGGAAGAAAAAGATAAAAGAGGGGTAAGTTTTTGTGTAAAAGCCATTATATTATATTGAAGAAATATGGAATTTTGGAATTTCTTGATGTTTTTCCTTTGGAAGGAAGAAGTCAAGGAACTTTACTTTCTTTTCAAACTAAAGTAGTAATTTTTTAACCTTAAAAAGAAAAATAAAATGAATAGGATTTTTTCACTTTTTTTTCTTTAGAGATTTTAGTAAGAAAATTTAAATTAATTGGACCTCTAAAATGTATATAAGACAGTAATAACAATAAGTCCAGTGTAATTTTAAGATAAAGATGGACCTTACTTCTATCTTTGAGATAGGTAAATTAACCTAGAGACAGTAAGAAAAAAATTATCATACAATTGCCACAAAATGGCATTGGAAAACTAGACAAATTTATCTACGTACGCTACTTTAATTCCACAATGGAATATGAATTGGACAAATATATGATTCCAAATATGATAGACTTATTATTTTGTGTTAATTAAATATCCAAAGTGGTTGAGAAATATATAGTCAAATTTCAACAAGTTTTTTAGTCAACAAATATGATAACTTAAATCACTTCAAATCTTTGGCTTATTTACTCACTCTTTTAGTTTCAAATGACTAATAATTGAGAAATATGATTTGACATGATTGAATTTTTTTGTTTCTATTGGGGTAGTTGGTGATAAATTACAAAAACAAAATTCCACTACTCACCAACTAATTAATTTAAATTAAAGAAAATATGGAACACACTCATTTTTCTCATACTTTTTCTTTTATTATGTTATGAAAAGTTATTTTGCACTTTTAGTCCTTCAAATATTATAAAAATATTGACTTTGGTTTATGTTCCCGTTTATATATAACTAGTTTCAGGCCATTTTATATAGAAATCCTTATGTGACAATTTAGATATTTGGATGCACGTTTACATAAAGAGTTTGGTAATAGTTACCAAAATTAGGATAATGACATGCTACACACAAACTATTTTATCATTAAAATTATATATTACATGCTATTTATGTAATTCTACATATATTTTACTCAACATAATTAAAGTTTTGAATTTGTCAACACGTAAAGGATTTTCAAATTAGTGTTCCTATTAAATCAACTAGGCCACGATGGTACATCAATTTGGTGGCAAGTAATATAACTTAAATAGTCATCCACCTATAAAAAAAAAGTCGATTGATAGATAATATACATATAACTAGTTTATAATAATGTTTGTATATTAGCTAGCGATTATAAATATTTTTGACTAAGCTGTCAATGGTATAACTTCTCCAAAAATTTATTGCACTAGCCATCAATAAATTTGCTTTGACAAAGTAATGTAAAGCCAACAAAGGGAAGTGTTATTGACTCTTAAAATGGTAAAGAAGTCAAATAAAATTAAATGGATAGATTATTCAACTTGTATTTTTGAGGTGGAAAAATTCAGAAATAGTCATTTTCGGTCTCTATAATCGAAAAACGGTCACTATCATGAAATTTCAGAATCTATAACGGAAATTAATCTCCATAAAATATCTTACGAATTTTTCAATTTAAAGATCCTGACTATTTTTTAAAAACACAATAAAAAAGTGTTCAACAAGCACTATTTCTACTTTTGAAACTCTGACCCTAAACCTTGCCAGGAAAAATGTACTTGTAATTTATGAGCTAGAATATGACAATTTCAAACTGCTCTGTAATGTTTTTTCTTGAGCTAAGTATCTATCGAAAATAGACTTTTATCTTATAGGCATAAGGTCTATGTATACACTATCCTCTCAAATTCCACTCGTGAAATTAGGATTGTTGTTGTATAATTTATGGTAATTGCATCATCAAGTCTTTGGCTAACTAAGCAAATATGACTTATTTGGACTATTGCCATCATGTTTTAGTTGATGACAATTCAGTATAGACGCGGTTTTGACCTTTATTTTTGATAATTATTCTCAAGAAAAAAATTCAGTCCAAAATTTCAACATCAAAGAAAGATTTTTTTGTTTTTGTTTAAGTAGTATAATTATTTTAAAAGTAAAAATGTCTTGATCTGTGGCTTAAGCATACTGTTTAGGGTAAATATTTGGTGTTATGTTACTGGATTGAAAGGGAAAGCCACTAACCACAAAAACTACTTACTTATATTACAATTGAATTAACAACAATTTAATGTGTAATTTTTATTCCACTTGACTTAAAAAATTATAACACAACCAAAATTTGAAGAAAAAAAGTTGACTAGTACATATGCCAACTTTTGCTTTAACCTTTCTTGTTAGGAAAAAAAGACAGGCAACTAATTAAATTCCAATTAAGTGTTAACAAAGGACTCTTTCCTAAATTAAGTACCTTTCCATCCTTTTCACTTGTTCGAATCACTGACTTATTTTTAATATTTAAATTTTTGCACTAATTTAATTGAAATTATACCTCTGTAATCAAATTCATTAAACAAAGATTTGCCAATGCACGTCTTAACTAATTTAATAAGATAAGTAGTTTTTCTTATGATTTAGTTTTCGTCCATCTCGACTAATTCCATGGAATACCTGTGTACTTAGTATTTTTTTGTGTCTCCACTAAAATTTGAACCTAAAACCTCAGGATTCTCAACCTCTTTATTGACCACTAGGCCACACCCTTGGTGCTAGTATGAATGTAATACCAAATTTTGCCAGTCTGGTTAAACTTATGAACAATTGAATGTCACAAGAAGCTCCACCAATTTATTGATCGTATAAACACAATGTTTTTCCGGTGAAGGGGTTTGGAGGCATATATGGAATGTACATTCTACGACATCACACAGAGATAAAAGAACGAAACGGTTTCCTCAATTCACATAACAACAACTACTACTGTGTCTCAGTCCCAAACAAGTTTAGGCTCCTCAATTTACATACTTCTATTTTAAATGTATGAGTTAGCAACTTCCATCAGCTGAAAGATTAGTTGGGACAAATGTGCAGGGACAGGATTCCCAAATGGTTAATCTGGGACCTGTCTTGATTCTGTTCACATACAGGCTTAGTTTTAACTTGATCAAAAGCTGGTACAACTAATAAACTAGACTTAGTCACAACACTAGAAATAGAAGAAACAAACTAAAGTAACAAACAAATCTGTGATTTTACAATCTGCAGATATATATCTGATATCACCAGACAACAGTGCATATTCTCTTGAAGATTGAACTGAGTTTATTGTCAACAGTAGGATAAACTTGGGGAAAACACGGAGTAAGTCATCTTCATTGGTCAAATCCGGACAACAAATGGGGGAGAGAAGACATGACTGTTTATGCGATTCAGCATTCATAAATTGAACTATAATAATAACTTATGCATACACTATAGAGGCAGTTAAACCACCAGTGGTATAACCAGTTGAACACCTTAAAATGGAGACTAGTGACCTCTTCAGTTCAATATCCAATCCAGCTTTAAAACATTGCTCCAGGAAAAGAAACGTGAGTAGTAGCTATTCCTAAAGGAGAGTTATCATCATAGGAATAAAGTCCTCAACAAATCAGAAACGAAAGAGCTCAAAAGTTAGTGTACCAGTAAAGGAATGAACTGCACCCAAGTGAAAATAGAATACTAATATAGGCAGCCTATCTAATTCCAAACTGAGTCATAGGTTATTGGTTGTATGCTATAGTTTACTGCAAATGATCCACTTAGCTTTTGGTTTAACTATCAAAATGCACTACGGTTTGTTAACGTAAACAAATATCTTGTTCACTATTTCACACAGTTTGTTCAAATAGGCAAATTGTAAGTGAACACAAATATATACCAGATTCAATAGTACTCTCTACTGCATACTTGCTTTTGATTTCTCCTTTTTAAATAACTTTGGTGTTCAAGCCAACTTACACGCACCTGGACTGGTCCCCCATATCTTGTGGCTACCCCTAGATTTAATAGTAATTAGCAAAACCCAAGCAATGGAAGGTACATCAGTGGATCCGGTATCAGAATGGACTGTTTCCAGCAGGGAGACGTGACTCAAAGATCCTATATGGCAGTAGAAGTCCGTATGCAAGTAATTGACACACTCGTTGAGCCGTTCAGGATAAGATCTTAAGCCAATTGAGCAAATAAGACAGATAAGAATCTTAAAATACTAGTGATTTGAGTACCCTTACAACCCTGTAAGATATCATTAGAGTTATAAGACTGGTTCTGCCAAAGTACAGCAAAAGAATAATTGCCATGTTTCCTGTAGAAGTAGAACATAATGCTCCTACTTTGATATAGTCATGCGAGTTACAGAGAGAAGCGATACCATTATCCACAATTCAAACAGAAACAGCTAAAATAAGGAACCTAAGTAAGAACCTTAATGGTTTTATCATTACTGCATGGACATCTGAAAATTCTTCTAGAACTAGCTAGACATATATCTGAAACAACCTCTCTACTTCACAAAGGTAGGGGTAAGGTTTGCATACATTTCACTGTTCCCCTTCCCCACTTGTGGGACTACACAGGGAATGTTGTTATTGTAACTAGCTAGGCATACCAAATTCTTTTAGTTAGTTTCTGGTTTTCGATGTAACATTTGATTTCTGTTGAAGTTCCCTCCCCCCCCCCACCCCCCCGGTGTTTCAACAAGCCACATAGCACTCATGTAACTCTCCTAACAGTACATATGTTCCAGTTACGTGCTCCCTGGGCCTTGGGGATCTTACCTTTGTTCACTATGGCAACACTAACACTAGTTCTACTACACACTCTCGTACACAAGTCTTATCTGCAGCTACTTATTTTGTTCTCCCAAGATTTTCCACAGCTTCTTGTAGTGTCTTTTAAATATTGGATTCAGAAAAGCATGCGATTCTTGGGAGGATGCTACTGAATATTTGGTAAGATTTCCTGAAGAATCTTCAATGCTATTGACAATAATAAGACTGTCTTCCTATATATCCACTTTGTAAATCCACCAATTACTATAATTTTCACTACTACACAATTGTAACTCGGATCAACCAGAAGCCACTCCAATAGTTGCAATAAATAGTGAGAATAATAAATGAGAAAGAGATGAAATAATGGACAAAACGAATGTAGTCCGTCTGAGATGACTGAAAAGCTTAAACTCAAGGGACTTGGGAGATATTGCTGTAGTTAAATGGAATTTAGAACTAAAACACAGTGCTCACTAATTATATTAGATACAACATAGATGAGAACAATAATTTTGCTAAATTATATTAGATGCAACAAGAGCAAAATTCCTATACAATCTCAATCTAAACAAATTTGAAATAGAACTTTATGAAAATTAAGATTTGACAAATGAGAATGATAATTTTGCCATTTCAAGTCTCTTGTCAAACATAAGGCATCCAACTTACAACTTCAAAATACACAATTCATTGTTCCTCAACTACCAATTTTACTCTTTACAACTACTCATGATGAAATTGAAAGATCCCCATCACTTACAACCGCAACATTTACCAAAAACAAGCATTAAGTAACCCCTTGTCAATATCCAAAGTATTCAAAAAAATTGTCATCAACAAGAACAAGGGGGTTTGAAGGTATAAGGCTGTGGAAGTGACAACGGACCTCTCCTCGACTCATTATCATCCAAATGCCTCTGAACTTTCTTCTTAGAACAGTACTGCCTATCAAAATGTTTCACCTATCATACAAAAAACATATACTAAATTAAACACCAGGGTAAGTCCCAGAAAGTTAATGTCTATCAACTTTATCAACATCCAAATAAAGTCTTCCAAAAAATACTACTTCAAAACCGAACAACTCAATCAACCTATCCATTACGCCTCAATCCCAAACTAGTTGGACTAGACTAACTGAATTATATATATATCTATTTCATTCCAAAACAAATTGAAACTAAATATATGAGATAAAAAAGAACTCACCCAAGTGGGTCTGCATTGCTTCACATATTCCTGCCTAGTTTTGTTGCAATCAACTGGGTATAACAGCCCAACAGTCCCGATTTCAGTAGGCTTCTTGTCTGATTTATTCACCAGGCATGAGTAGAACGCATCTCTCGCCTTCAAACCAGAAATTCACAGCCTTGTATTAGCTTACTCAAACATTGATATAATTCATATAAACATCAAAATAAAACAAAAAAATTAATCCAGAAATGTCCAACAAAACCCAGTGGTTTCAGCTCTAAATCACACACATCCAAGCATAGAAGGAATACAAATTCACTCCTTTCTATTAGCTTTACGTATCAAAATAGATGATAATTTCCAGTGATTTCAGCTTGAAATTACACACACAAATACATACAAGTAGTCCAAAATATATACAAAATTTACATATTTTTAACAAATTGAGAGAAAACAAATGTACCTTGTAGCAAGAGATTCGAGCTTTGCTGAGAACATCGGTGTGAATTTCTTCACTGACTTGTGATGTATACTCTTCCATCGCCACTGTTAAACTGCAATTTTGAAGGAAGGAAAATATTTTGTTAAACCTTTTTGAAAATAACTAGCGATATTCTATTTATAAATGATAAAAAACCGAGTTAAACTGATATTAAAAAATTTATTCTAATATATATTAAATAAATATTAAATAACTTACTTCAACTTTGAATTATTATTTCAATATCGAATAACTAGATAACAAATTTCTATTTAGTGTTGAGTACAGAACTTTTTCTTGAGGAACAAGTTTTTTTCTTTTTTTTATTTTAACAACTTGAAGAACAAGCTGGAATGTTGGATTTGAAGCTATACGGGCTAAATAACTGGGCTGGATCATTACAAGCTTAATGGGCCGTATTGGTTGAAACTCTTTGGGCCCAAATAAATAATTGAAGAGAAACTAATATTTTTCATTTGTTTGCAACAAGAATATTTGAATTTGATTATGCACATATGAGTGATTAAGATATTGTCTTCAGATTTAAATTATAAATGATAAAGATTGTTCATTTTTCAACATAAATATGTATAGGTTATTTATTGTTAAACATAATAAATAAACAATTCAAATAAAAAATAATTAAATATTAAAAAATATATACTTTAATTTGAAAACAAAAATTATGTTTACTAGTGATGGTGGAGATGAATTGTAGCGGCGATGGTTGATGTTAGTGGAGATAATAGTGGTAGCGATAACTGTGATATGATGAAAGTGAATGGTGTTGTACTGATTGATCTGATCGTAGCAATTAGTCGTGGTGGTGGTAGAGTTGATTGATGTTAATAGTTGACAGTGTGGCTGAAGAATGTGTGATGGTTGATGATGATGGTGTTGGTGGTAATTGGGTGCAAAACTCGTTATGATGGTAGATATGGTTGGTAGTAAGGATTAATTCCAATGGTGGTATTGGCTAGTAGTGATGGTGGTGGACATAGTTATAATGATGGAAGTGACAAGTGTGATAGCGATCGATTGACAATAATGGTGGTGGCTGGCAATGATGATAATTGTGCTGTCAGATATGATTCATGGTGATGATTGGACATAATGATGGTGAAAATTATCCACGTAATATAAACAATACATTTAGTGAACTAAGATTTAAATCATTTATTTTTTAATCTTCGTTAAGTTCAAATAAATAAAGTCCAAAAATATCTAATTAAACACCACTACTTCATGATGATCTATTTATTTATTTATTTTCCAAAAATGGACAAAAGCATACATCCTTTTCATGGGCTGCTAAAAATCAACTCACCAATATAAGGTTCATTCCATGTAATGTGATGGTGGAATCGTACGAGTACATTTATAAGCACATTTTGTTCATTTTATTGGATTAGTGGGTGTTACCATTGGTTCATTTGACTTTTAAGTCTTTGGTTGAATATTATTCATTTCAATCTATGTGCTTTAATTTCTTAAACACAAAGTTTAAGTAAGAGAAATTTGATTATTATTATAAAATGTTATTTTAAAAAATGTCTATTGTAAAACAGTGTAATAGTATATATCAACATAATAAAATACACTTAAAATTTGTTTCACTTTGTTGTAATGGACTTGATAACAATACTTTTTGTGGGTGCTACTACTACAATTGACAATACTTTGTGAGTTTGTGGATGTTGTCATCGATTTATTTGTCTTCTGAGTTTTGGTTCGATATTATTAGTTTCAATTTATGTATTTTAATTTTAATGAGGATATGAAGTTTAAATAATAAGAGAAATTTGATCATTATTATAAAATATGTATGCATCGAGAATGTTTGTTATAAAAAGACCTAATTGTATATATCAACATAACAAAGCATGTTTATTTGATAACAAAACTCTTTGTGGGTGCTACAATTGATTTCATTTGATTTATTAGAGCGATAAAATGTTGAATGTCAATAAATCGTAATAACAAGGTCACCTACCATTTATAATACTCTATTTTATCACCGGACTCAAGAAAAAATGTACTTCAAAGCATTGATAAGTTGAATTACTTTTGTTTCTTATCTCTGCATTTTTATATTTTAAATTTCTCATGAAAATTCTAATTTCGCCATTTTGATAATTTTTTTGGCGAAAAGTCTTTTTCAAAGATGTTCACAGTCTTTCGTAATATCTCCCCTATAGTCATCAAGTTAAATCACAAATTTTCGAGAGGCTCCACATCATCCTTTTAATTATATTTCATAATTATGTTTTCTTTGACCTTTTACTTCATAGACTTTCATATCCAATTTTTTTTTTTTTTGTTATGAATGACTTTTTCAATGTTGATATGATTTGGCATTTGACACAATCTAAAAGCTCATTCCACAATGTATTGATGAATGATGATATCAAATTTGAAGACAATTCTTGTGTGTTTGGCCATTATTTGACAATAATCTTATGGCAACGATGATTTTTTTTTTTAAGGTAAGAAAAACTTTTCATTAAAAGAAAATTATATTTTTTTAAATAATATCTAATACAATGATCTATATCATATTGACTCGACTCTAAAATTTATCATGTAAAAATTGATACATACACATGCATTCATATGAATAAATTAGTGTAGGAGATTTACAAAAATATATTCATGCAAAAGTATATATATCGTTACAATAACTTAAATTATCGATAAAATTCTCGCAAGATGAAAAAAGTCCTCCTCACAGTCACATAACATATGAACTATTTTCGAAGCTTAAACTTACTCCTGAGCATTTCCAGCTCATCACTAGTGTATAATATTTCTCATTAACTATATACTATTTTTTTCATTTTTGGTTGCTTTCTCATTGTTGTTGTTATTGCAATTTTCAATTATTTTTTTGCGTTAAATATAGTTTTCTAACTTTAATCAAATATTGTGCAAAAGTTGACATCACTTTCGGCCATAATTAAATGGTGTCATATGGACCCATTCCAACAAAACTCAGTAAAAATGGTTAGTTGTGTTGGAAAATAGCACGCAACGTAAGCATTTCAAAATTATACTACTTATATAAATTATTACATCTAAAGTGTGAACAAATATCTTGAAGCTGATTCGATTCCAGTTTTATGGTCTTCTATAGTAATCTCAAATTAACAGGCTAATTAACTCTCTCGGATAGACAAATATCATATAGAAAATTATTTGTCTTTCTAAATTAGAAGATCCCATATTTATAAAGATTTCTTTCTAGTTCAAAAGTAAGAAAAAAACTCACGCTTTTCTTGAAAAACAAGAAAATTCATGTGATTCTTCCTCTTTCCTTTTGAAAATAGGATTATGATTTATGAATTGTAGTTAAATATGATCATCAATAGTATATTTTCCAACACGTCCTTTATGAGTAGCCTACACCAATAGGAGTAATATTTACCAACATTTTGCTAGAATCGAGGGTGGAGCTAATCACTAATCTCTTGATTACTGCACTAGCCTGGTTTCAGGGAACCTATATTAATCACTAATCACTCTTTCCTTGGATTAAGTTTGTTAATTTTCACTTTAAACAATTTTTAATTCAGAAAAAGGGAAACGCATGCCCCCTTCTTTAGTATCAATTTCATATTAGAATATTAATTAGTCACCTTTTTTATACGCTTCTTAAAAAGTTTATCAAATTTATACGAAACATTGAATTTAGAACTTTAATTATAAACACTTGAAGTCGTCATTCTAAAGTTTAAAACTCATAAAGTTGAAATTCTGACTCACTCTATATAAAAACATCATATCGAAGATGTATGAGATAAAAAGGATCTTGTGCAGATAGACGAATGATATGGCGACACGTGGTGAAAACATACGTGTATTAAAAAGTAATAGTACTCATATTTGTGGTGTCTCCCCTTGAATGACGCAGGCCTATAGGTGGTCCAAATCCCCACGACAATTTCCATGTGGGTGGTCCCACTTCTCATCGAACGGTCAGGATTCATCCACAACAGTCAAATCAAACTAACGAATACCAAGTCAATGATATAGATATGTATTAGGCTTTGTTTGGATCAAGAAATTTAAAAAACAATAATAAAATAATTACGTATGAAATATCTAAATAAAGTTTTGTGGTTGGAATGTATTGTATAAAACTAAAACTAATGTATGTTTGGTGGGTCATATTTGAATAATCTTGTGTGGGGAATCAAATTATTAAATACTTAATTTTAACTATAAATTTGAATAGAATTATAAATTATAAGTAATTTTCTACTCTCTCTATTACAATTTATGTTAAAGAGTTTGGTGTATGAGAATCAAATTATTAAATACTTAATTTTAACTATAAATTTGAATATAAATTCTTTAAATATTTTAAAATAAAATTTACATATTTGAAATCTAAATAAAAAATACTTTAAAACAACATAATTGAGGATTTAAAGTTTTTTTTTTAAGATTGACAAAATAGCAATCAAAGAAAAATATTTGGTTTTTTTAAATAGTAATATCCACTAAAAATGAGACGAAGCAAATATCATTTCAACCAAAAAAGTTTGAAGATAAATACAATTATCTTTTGAACAGACATATACTTTAAGTTAAGCTTTGACATAAATTTAAAATTTTCATACTTGCGATTTTTATCTTCAAATATTTAATTTTTAAAAGCTACGATTTTCGTAATTAAGTTATCTTCTTGAAATCTACCACAAAGGCTTAGTAATATATTAGTAGAAAAGGACAACCAAACCAATTTACCCCACAAAACCACTACAAAAAAAATGTTCTCTAGGCTTTAGCACTAGCTAAGTAATTTTAATATATATATTTTTTTAATATAATATAAAAATAGTGTAGGTCAAAGTTATTCATATCTGACTCTTAAATATTATCAGAGAGAGTACTAAATTTGAATTATAGAAATATTAAGACATCAATTTCGGATTCTGACATTCGTCTTTCATCATTAGTTTTGATTTTTTCTTTGAGAGATAACCAAACACAAATATATATATATATTATCATTTTATGTTACTACTAGTACTAGTACTACTTAGGATGTATATTTTATTCATCACAATTCATAGATATCCAAATATAATTTTTTTGTGAA